CCACCTTAGGTGTATGTGGCTGGTGCCTTAGCCACTTGAGCCACAGGCACCGAGCCTTTTTTTCTTTTTTTTTTTTGTGAGACAGAGTTTCACTCTGTTGCCCAGACTAGAATGCACTGGCATCACCTTAGCTCTCAGCAACCTCAAACTCCTGGGTTCAAGCAACCTTCTTGCCTCAGCCTGCTGAGCACCTGGGACTAGGCATATTACCATGACCACCAGCTAATTTTTCTGTTTTTAGTAGAGATACAGTCTCACTCTCACTCAAGCTGGTCTCAAACTTCTGTGCTCCAGCAATCCTCCTGCCTCAGCCTTCCAGAGTGCTAGGATTATAGGCGTGAGCCACCACCCATCTGGGGCCTCTTTTTAGGCTCAGATGGCTAAGCCTGCTACATTATGTGACTGCAGACATAGGGTCTATGGCATGCTAGGGATGCCTTTCCCACTGTGGGAATTTTCTGGACCCCCACAAGCTCCATGGGACAGGGCCTCATGTCCCACCTGACCTCATGATGGCTCAGACTCAGGTGTCCACTTCTGGCCTACAGGTCCCAAGAGTTTGACGTCCAGTCAGGTGGCAGGGGGTAGAGGGGGGTGACCTGGCTTTGGAAAGGTCAAATGCCCTCCTGTGACCCGTGTCTTAAGCCATTCTAAGCATGGACGCTTTCACCGCTCTTGAAGGCCACCCTTCCACGAGTGTGTGCACGTGTGTGTACACATGTGTGTGTGCACATGTGAGTGTGTGTGCGCCGGGAGTTTCTTCCATCTTCCACATTCTAGATCCTGCCCTGTCATCCTCTCTCCCTCTCTCCTTCATTCCGTCCCATTCTATCATCCTATACAAAATGCTACATCCTAGACGGCCCCCCTCACCCCCTTCCTTCTGCAGCTACTGCTCTGGTTGTTTACTTCCCTTTGATAGCAGTGCTCTTCGAAAAGGTCTCCTCTCCTCACAGTTTTCATTTCCTCACTTGGTATGGAACAGTGGGAACCTATTTCAACCAGGCTTGTCCTCACTCCAAATCTGCTACAGCCAAGGTCACCCACAGATTCCATCTTGCCAAATTCAGGGATCACATCTTAATCCTCTTCTGCTCAGCAGTACCCCAAAGGGTTGGCCACTGCTTTATTTTTAAACTTTTTATTGTGGGAAAAACATTAACATGAACAAAAATCAAGAGTTGTCTAAGGAATCTCCACGTAACCTTCACCCAGCAACAACAAAGAATAACTCAAGATCTCCCCCTCCTTTTTTTTGTTTATTTTTTTTGTTCGCTGGAGAGTATTTAAGCAAATCCAAGGCTTCCTGTTCTCCCCCCTGTAAATTCTTTCACATGAATTTTGAGCTGATATTTTTCCCGCATTTACCTGACAAGATGAATGCTCTGCCTCACCAGCCCAGTCCAGGTTCCAATGTCCCTGGTGTCTTTCTGTGGCTGGTTTGTTCAGCTCAGGCTGCAAACCAGGCCCACATGTGTGTATTTGCATCTGATCCTGTCTCTTCAATCTTTCAGTCCACACCAGCCCTCCTCCCCTTCTCCCTTAAGCCTGGACAAACCGGGTCCTTTGTGTAATGGCCTATCTAGCACTCTGGGCTGAAGCTTCCTGGTGGTGTCCTGATGTGCTCCTCTGAGCCCCACACTGGCAGGTGCAGCTGAAACTGAGGGCTCCCCTTTCCTCTGTGAGCCCCTCCTGCTCTCCCTGTGGGTTCTCTTCCCTGGGCCGTCTCCTGTCAAGGTCTCGGCAGCCCCAGCCTTGCCCACCACCCAGATGCCAATGTCATTGGCATCCACACCGCTAGCCTAACTCCTGTATCCAGCCATCTCCTCTGCATCCCTTCATGGCATCTCAAACGTAACATGACCAAATAAGGACCCAAACCATAACTGTCCCTGAACCTCAGTCTCTATTCCAAATTTAACTACTTTCTTCTTCCCTCTGTGGCTTTCCTGATCCAAGCTACCACTCCCTCTCCCCTGGGTGCCCCCAGAAGAGCCCCCCTGGGCTTTCTGCACCCACTTGTTCCATGTCCTCTTGTTCCACCCTAGCTACACGAGGGTATGTGAGGGAGGTTACATCGGTGGGTGCCAGGGGCTGCAGGAGGAGGGATTGTTAGCTCCTGCTTAATGGGTACAGAGTCCTAGCTGAACAGTTGTGGAGATGACTAGCGCCTCATGAATGTATTTTGTGCCACTAAACTGTATACTTAAAAATGGTTAAGACAGTCAATGTGATTATGTGTCCCATAATTTTTTAAAAAATTGAAAAAAAGATACATAAAGGGATCATGTCATCCCTCCCTGCCCAGAATTCTCTAGCAGCTTCCCTGTGAAACCTGGAGTCCTAGTGTGGCCTACACAGCCCAGTGTCCTCTTAGACAGCACCTTCGTCCCTTCCTCCCCTTGATCTCTAGCTCTGGCCACTCTGGCCTCCTTCCTTGCCATCCCTCGGGCCCTGTACACGTTCCCGCACACCCTCTGCACGTTCCCTTTTCCATGCACAGAGCTTGTGCCCGCCCTGCCTACCTCCAGACGCTTCCTGCCCTTGCCTATGTGATGCTACCCTACGTGGTAGCTTATTGCCCTGTAATCTTCCACTGCACAGAAGCCAGCAGGCTATTGTAGAAGCCACTCTGCGCTCCAAGGTAGCCAGAAGGGCCTCTGAGGCCCGTGTGTGACTCTCTGGCCCATGCGGTAGTCACATTTATTGCAAAGGAGGATAATCACAACACCAGGATAATCACTCAGGAGTCCCAGATGGGGAGACACTGAGGTTCTGAGGGCGGACCATGCCTGGACTGTTCCCTTACTCACTCACCCCTCCCTGCACATTATCGTCACCTGGGGCTTTTACAAGACAGAAGTGACTGGCAGAAAATTTGGGTTGTTCAGGGATGGGACCAGAACATTTGGATTGTTTAAAATCTCTCAGGAGACTCCTGTTTGTGGTGGGATGGCAAGCCCCCCAAATTGAGGCACGGGCAATGCTGGGCTGTTGGTTGTCTAGGCTGAGGAACTGTCACATGTGTAGAAAGCAGCTCTGTTGAGAAAACCTGGGAACCTGTCTTCTGGCAAGCCAGGCTCCCCACACCTCCCGAGGGGTTTCCACAAAGCAGACTTAGAAACCTGGAGTCGGGTCACCAGGAAGCTCCTCAGGAGACCTGAGCTTCCCTGGTGTCCTGCCCTTACCACTCCAGTGTTGGCCTTGGAGGGGCCTAGGTCCTCCTGCTTCCTCCCAGGCCCTGCAGTAAGCGCCCACACTGCATCTCTCTGTCTCCAAGAAGTCCCCAGTAGGCCTGCTGAACCACAGAGTGGCCCAGGGCTTGTGACCTGGGGGACCCTGAGAGGTCATAACTCCCCCCTCCCATGCAGCAGCCCTTGTGGATTTCATCTGACTGGACTTGGAAAACAATTGTTTTGAGGGGAGAGGCCACAAGTCTGGGCCCTGGCCCTGTGCCCACACTCATCCCGTGAGGGCTCTGAATCTATGACCATGGAGGGACTGTGAAAGTGTGAGGGGGGTAGTGGGAAACAGCCTTTGGCAGCTGCCCCCAAGACTTTCATCCACTGTTGCCCCAGGGAGCAGTGGGTGAAGAGGTCTCCCCAGCCCCCCTAATCTGCCCTCTTCAGTAAGAAGGTTGACCTCAGATCTTCCCACCCCTGCTTTTTGGATGAGGTGACCATCCTGGGCCATCTAGCTGACAGAAGGATGGCAGGAACTAGGTCTCCTGATCCAGAGACACATCCCCCAGGTCAGGGGACTTCTGTCTCCTCCTTGCCACAGGTGTGACCTGGATGCCCCACATATCTCCACCTCTTCCACCCGCCCTGGTGTGGACTTGAGCCCTTCTGCTGCCACTTCTGGGGACCTCACCTGAAATCTATGTCTTCTAAGTCTGGCCACTAGTCTAATGACAGGGCTCAGCACTCAGCAGGGGCTTCAGCTGCCCAGGGAAAGCATCACTGCCGGCTTCCTGGGAAGCTCCAGAAATGTCTACCTACCGCACGGCAGAGTGAAGTGTTCACTCCTGGTCTCCCCAGCAGACCACGCAGTACTTACCAGGCCTTACTCCCATGGGGATATGAACACAGGAAGCCTTCAGGGGCAAGGGGACCCCAGAAGGGACAGCTCTGGCCCCAGGGGCAAAAGCTGTGAGGAAAGGTGTGGCTGCAGCTTGGTGACTTGAGGGAACTCATCCCTAGGAGCTCTGCTCCCTCCAGGTGGAGGGAAGGACCTGTTGGGCCAGTCCAGAGGCAGAGGCACAGGCTGCAGGGTCGGGAGGGCTTGTTTATTCAAGGCACAGTCATAGCATTAATAACGAGAAGGTTCAGCATTCTGGCACATTCCTGTAGTGGTGGCCAAAGTTAGTCCACACCCCTCACCGAGGCCCCAGAGGACGAAATGCTGCTGATAGGCACTTTGCTCCCAGAGGCAGCTGGAGGCTGGGCAGGCAAGTGTGGGCCTGCTCATGCCCCAGGAAGGCCCCCTCAGAGGCTCTAGTCTAAACAATACTGGGAGGCCCCATGGGAATCAGCTCCCTCCAGAAGGGATCACATTTGGCGCTTTGGTGGATGGATTGGAGGAGGCTGAGAAGATGGGCAGGGGAGACTGTGGTAGGTAGAGGCCAGCAGGTGAGACAGGTGTGGGCCAAGGGAGGAGGCTCCTAGGAGAGCCTGGATGTGTCATGGGGGAACTAAAGGACTCCCCACCACCACCCTGGAGTGACCGTGGGAGATCCAGATAGAGCCAGCTGTGGTGGAGCCTCCTAGTTTGCCTAAGAGTGGACTCTGGAACTCTCAACATTGGCACCACCTCCTCACAGAGCCAGACTGCTCCCAGCCACCAAGACCCTTCCCATACATAGCTTCTGAGGGCTACAGGGGGAGGTGGGCAGCAGACAAAGGGCAGAACCAGCAGGGACTGCAGCTGCCAGCAAGGAATGCTAGAGAAGGAGGGGTCCCAGGCCAACTTCTGGCAGGACCCCCCCCACCCAATTCACACTATAGGGCTGGGCAGGGCCAGGAGTTGGCCATCTCCCCACTGTGGGCAGCTTCCCTGCTGGGCCCAGCTGCTCTGCTATGGAAGGGGCCTTTCTCTTTGTTGGTTGGTGGAATTCTGGGAGGAGGCCAGGCTGGATATAATTTCTCCCTTATTCCTAGTTGGACAAGGAATGAGAAAGACAGCCATCTCCCCAGCCTACCCAACTTCTCTGGAAAGATCCCCCATGCCAAAGTTTGGCAATATCCATCCCTTGAGTACTATTTCTGGTCTGTGCTGGAGCTTGGAGCTTGGAGCTTCTGGGGCTGGGATGTCAGCAAAGGTAATACAAGAACAAGGCCCAGGTGATCTGAGTTTGGGGCAGCCATGTGCCTGGGGCCTGGTGGAAATGTTCAGGTGAGGTGAGCCTTGGCCCACTACCAGCAGGTTGTCAGCAGGAACCCAGACCTTGGAGAGGGCTTTGGAACATGCAGACCCCATTCAACTTGGTGAGTTCTGGTTTACTGAGACCCCAGCCAGCCCTTCTCCAAGTCCTCCTCAGCTGGGCTTCATGGTGGTCCTGATGCAGGCCTGTCCTCTGCCAGCTATGGCAAAGGTGCTGGGTGTCATCAGCATTGCTCAGGATTCTGCTCAGCTGGGTCTCAGGTGGTGGCAGCTCTGGGGGTGTGGTGGCCTTGCTTCACCAAAAAGGGCTTCTTCACCCCACCCCTCCCCCAGCAGGCCTGGGGGTGATGTCACTGTTGAGGCATTTGCAGGGTTTGAACAAGGGCCACACTGGAGGCCACTTGGATGCAGGGCATGGTGCGGGGCAGCCCTGAGAGGGGATGAAAGGTCCTACATACTTGGGGCAGGGGGTGGCCAGTCCTGTTGGAAACATGGGTTTCTTACCCAAGCTGCTGCCCATCTTGGCCAAGCAGAGGGTCTAGGCACTCAGAGGAGAATGAGGCAAGAGAAGCTCTTAGTGGCCACATCCTTGGCTTCGGGGATCTTCTCATTAGAACCTGGGGCTTAGGGGAGTATGTCTGGTTTCCTACCACTCAGGGTTTGGGGGAGAAGACCCCACTCCAAGAATTCTGTCTCTGCCCCTCCCACCTCACAGTACCCAGAGCAAGGACCAGCCAAGGCTTCCTTCTTCAAAATGCACACAGGTCTCGTTTAATGAGCCCCAGGTGACCTCATCTACCCCTGTAAGAATGGAAAGGAGAAGGGCCTCTATTCTGCAGCTCCTCAGACGTCTGTCAAGGGGCAGAGTAACAGGAAGGGGCTCAGTCACCTCTTTTCAGGTCGATGGGTGCAGAAACTTTTTCTTTCCAGATGGTCATCTGTGTCTCATACTGAAGCTCAGTGCTGGGGAGCAAGGAGTCGGAGGTAGGGGGAGCAGCTGCAGAAGCTCCTTGGAAGGGCAGCTGGTGATGACCCTGGAGAGCCTTCGACAGGCTTCCTTTTGCCTCCTCCCTGGTGCGTGCCTCCTCCGTCTCAATCCCAGGAAGGGATCACAGCTTCAGCCACCCCTCCCAAGACCGTGCTTGCCTGTATCCTCCATCTCATGCAGGCTCCCTCTGTCCTGCCCAGCACCTCCAGTTCCAACTGATCAGCAGGTCGGGGCCTCCATGTAGCTGTAGCTAGGGCAGCAGATGTCTCTACTGGGGGCTTCCCAAAGTCTGCAGCAGGTAGTGGGGAGGTTTAGGCCACCCTCCTGCCTCCCCCTGCCAGACCCTCCCCTGGGTCACCAGCAGAGGCCTGGGGTCCTCATCAGTGGTACTGGCTCTGGCCCTCTAGCTCCAGCCCTTCCTGGAACTCGGATGATTTGTGCTCCCTCGTGAAGCCACTCAGACCACTCTCCTCTTCGCCTTCTTCTGGCGGCTGGCTGTTCATGGTGCCGTAGGTGTGTCTGGCTGGGGAGGAGGCTGGGGTCAGATTCAACTCCGGCTCTTGCAGCACAGTGGCCACATACAGCTGCTTGGGATAGAAGGGAAACAGAAGCAAGGTTACATCCGAGGCGAGGCGCTGGGCACACCCCCTCCCTACATCCCACCCCCATCACCACTGTCCCTTCCAAACCATGGAGCTGTTCTTCTTCCCAATAGCTCAAGCCCTGTCCATCCCACCTGCCTCATTGTCCTTGGTCATTTAAGGAGCATCTAGGGACTCCTAGGGATGGCTAAGTTGGGGGTCTCCCCACTCCCAGTCCTTCAAAACATGTTCTGTTCACTTTTGGTTCTAAGTCAGGCTGAACCCAGGGGAGATGACCTGAGGTTCCCCTCAGCTGGCATCTGGAGAGACCCTTGTTCCTGTGCCAATGCACTTTCTTTCTTTTATTTAAAGATTATTTTTATTTTTATTTTTTTTAGAGATAAGGTCTTACTTTGTAGCAGCCTAGGCTAGAGTGCAATGCATGGTCACAGTTCACCACAACCTTCAACTCCTAGGCCCAAGCAATCCTCCTGCCTCAGCCTCCTGAGCACCTGGGACTACAGGTGTGCACTGCCCTGCCCAGCTAATTTCCTTTATTTATTGTAAAGATGGGGTCTCTCTATGTTGGCCAGGCTGGTCTCAAACTCCTGGCCTCAAGTGATCCTCCTGCCTCGGCCTCCCAGAATGCTATGATCACAGGTATAAGCCACTTTGCCTGGTCAGATGTGCTTTCTAAAGCAGCTTCAGAGGTGTATTCAGAACTCATTTGGGGGATGTCACTGGTTGGCCAGTGAGTTGAGATTTGGAACAGAGACTGCTAGCTGAAGCCTTGGCCATGTGGCCTGTCAAACCCAGAGATGGTCCTAGGAATGCCTGGGCATTTCTAGACTAGAAAAACACAGCAAGCACCAAGGAGGAGAGCAATTTGTCATCATTGGCAGTGACTTTTAAACCAACTCTTTACCTTGAAAATTGGCAATTATCGAATATAATGAAACCTTTCTCATAAGAGTTTTATTTCAGGCTCGGCGCCTGTGGCTCAAGAGGCTTAAGCATCAGACACATACACCTGAGCTGCGGGTTCAAATCCAGCCCAGGCCCGCCAAACAACAGAGACAGCTGCAAGAAAAAAAAAA